CAGCTCAAACTCTATCGCCTAAGGCAATTCATAAACGTTTGTTTCAGTTGACACAGCAGTCGGACTGCCTGTGCACAATTCATCAAACGTTGTGCCAGTTTGTGTTTAACACAATGAAAATGTGTTGCAATTCCGGTCAATCTACATCTAAACAATCTACGTTTCAATTCCCTGCAGACGCAACTTAACCCACTTGAAAACAAAGTTTGTTAAAGCAACTAGAGATTTTATTAGCGGTCTGTGAATGAACTCTGAGCTTAGTATATATTTTTAAACTAATTTAATCTCTATGCGCATCGAGTCGCGGCTGTTCGTTAAGCCTCCGTGAAATATAGTTCCGGAAATTTTGAGTTACGCATTCGATCGTTCAATTCTCATAGGCATCTAAAATCTCGCCAAAATTTATTACCAAAGTGCCGTCATGCGTCAGAGTTAGTTACTATGGATGACGTGCGGGCGCAATAAGCAAACAGGCAGAACATGTGGGATACTTTGTGATTTGCCAGCAAATAGTTTATCGGCATCGCTGCGATAAAATGGTCTCGATTAAAATTGTATTTGGCGTGGGATACGAGTTTAAATGAAGGGTGTTTGGTAGCGTAGGGGAACACAATTTGTTGGAATTCTTTGCCATTATTCAATTCGGGCCCGTTATAGTTTTTCGACGCATAATGCACGTACTACTTTATTTAGGCATGTTGTCAAAGTTCTGCTGGTCTTGACCCGGCGGGATCCTAATTTAGTTAACCATTCTATATATATTTTAATAACACAATTTGTTGGAATTCTTTGCCATTATTCAATTCGGCCGCGTTATAGTTTTTCGACGCATAATGCACGCACTGCTTATTATTTAGGCATGTTGTCAAAGTTCTGCTGGTCTTGACCCGGCGGGATCCTCCTTTAGTTAACCATTCTATATATATTTTAATAAGACTCTGTCTCTTGAAATTTCTCCGAAAAAATGGAATGGAATAGTTCCCATCTGCAAAATGGTAATAGACACAGGAGCTATTGTTCTTTTAAATAACAGCAAACTACATGAATACTACAATTGTCGGTCTGTGTTATATCTTGCTTAGTGTAGCCTTAGTATAGACAACGTTACAATCAGTGTGCATTGATCCCGAAAATACCGCCACAAGTCTCAGCGTGCGGAAGTATTGCCAAAATGACGTTAATTTTGTAAATGTTTAGAATCGTAATAAAACTTTAAAAAGGATCCTAACTCTATATTTCGTGAATATAAGTTATGGTGCCAGAAAGACTTGACTAGGCTAGTTAAAATGACATATGGAATAATATCAGAAAACATGAACAATTATTCATTATTCAGACCACCGGGACGCCTCTCTGGGATGGATTTGTACAAAGGTTTGAATTTTTTAGCGTCAGAAAGGAGGAAACCAAAAAATAGCAGTAAGTCGAACTTCGATAAGTCGAACTTCGATAACTCGAATTTTTGATAAGTCGAACCAAATTGGTTGGCAATAGCGTCAAAAGTAGGAAATGCGTGTTAGTTTGTCTTGATTACTCTAACTTCGATTACTCGAATATCTTGATAACTCGAACGAAACATTTGGTGCCAACTTCGATAAGTCGAATTTTCTCGGGGAACTCCCTAATTACGACCAATCTTAACCTGTCTTTTTAACGTATCTATGCAAGCAGTTCAGTTTCTCTGCTTGCTAAGTTCACTTGTATGACTTACTAGTTAATATTAAGTGAAAAATACTGTCCCTATTCAATTTACACATTATATTAGACATTTTTGGAATTTTGCATTTGTTGATATGTCACTAAAACGTACTTTAAAAGCTTTGTCTGTTGATAAAAAATTCAAGGTTATAGAAGAAGTGGAAAGTGGCTCAAAAAATAAAGATGTAGTTGTGAAGTATGGGATTTCGGCAAGTACAGTGTCGGCAATTTTGAAAAATAAACATTCAGTCCTCACCGCAATGGAACGTTTCGAAAAAAACAAAAAAATAACATTACACAATTGGATTGTGTTGACGACGTAACTACCGCATGGAATATCGACGTTAAGCCCGAGACAATTTCCAATTGTTGTAAAAAAGCCAGTTTTGGTCAGTATTCTGAATGTAAAGGATTCCCTTGATTTTCCTAAGTGAACGCCTGAAAGAAAAGAGTGAAGGCGAAATCCAAATAGATATCGAGTTTAAAGCTTGGACAAACATTAGAGGTATAGCAGAAGGTAGCACCATCAACGATTTTATACATGTGGATGAGGATATTGTTACTTCAGTGTTTCCTACTGATGAACATATTATCGAGTCCTGCAGATCCGAACCGGTACAGTTAAACATCGAAGATGACTGTGAAAATGACACGATGGAGGAGGAACTGGAAGATGATTCTCAGCAACCACCTTCAAATGAATTTGTTGAAAATTCGTTGATTGTCTTGCGTTCCTATTTGAAAACCAGTGAATACACAACCGATTCCCTCTATGATTGTTTAAATAAAATTGAAGCTTTTGTTGAAAATCAAAATAAGAAATCCGGTCGTCAGTCACAAATAACTGACTTTTTTCCAGTGAAAGAGTAAACTTTAATATTTACATACATATGTATGTATATGTGCATACATACTATGTTTATATATACTGTATGTACATATATTATGTAAATACGTACATACATATGTACTACTATTTCATAATTTTCGTTTTTTGTTCAAAAATCCCCTTTTTAAAAATGAATGAATAAATGTTCTAACTCACTAACTAACCAAAAACTACATGCAGTTGTAGTTTTTATTGATAACTCGAAGTCTTGATAACTCGAAATTTTCATGTGTCAAATGCAGTTCGACTTATCGAAGTTCGACTGTATTTTAACACTGCCTGGGAGAAGAACGCCTATTGACTCGTTGTCGTTAACTGCTGAGGAGGGAATTACGCTCAAAACAATAAGAGAGAAATTGGCAGAATAATTTGCTCCACAGAAAACTTTATTTATATAACTCCATAAAACAGGAACACAGCCAAAATTTTTAAGAGAATTGAAGAGTCGAAAGAAAACAACTAATAAAGTATAAAGATGAGAATAGTAATGGGAACTAGATATAAGGAAAATGGATTTAAAATTACAGTCAGTTATCGACTTGTGTGCAGGTGCTGAAGATACTTAACAACAGGTGAAAGAAATGCAAGAAGCTTGAATCATTGCTTTAAGGGAAATGTGTAAACAGGAGAGAAAGCAGTGCACATATTGTGGTTTTTCGCACAGGAAGAGGAAATGTCCAGTTTATGGCAAAGTCTGTGATGAATGTGGCCGAAGTGATAGAAAAACTGGTCAACAACGGCAGAAGCGTGAGAAAGGAAATAGCAAAAGCAAGAATACGGCAGTACATGGATTCGAAAGAGAAGGCAGTTCAGGCAGTTGAAGCTTTATTTATACAGTGTGATTCATGTTGAGTGTCATATTAAAAATTCTCGAGAACTAAGAATCGGAAGTTTTCGAAAATTAGTACATCGTATTAATGGCTAGAAACGTATACATTTATTTACTTTCAATTTAAAATACAGTTAGAGATATGTTATAGAAATATGATAGGTGAGTTATTGGTATATTCGAAGATATCGAAAAGAGCAAGATCTAATATTTAGGAAAAATATTTTCATTTTTGGCAATCTTTTTGTGCTACGTCAGTATTGGAACATACAACGCTTCTACATTTATGCACTGTGTAGTCAGCAGTAACAAGAAAAAGTTGCTTCTAAAATGTTCATTAATTTTGGATATATCTGATCACACGCAGGCTCAGCACAATATTTTCAAATATAGTTACCAAATCTGTAAACAAGTCAACTTTGCTACCGTCACAGAACTCTTACTAGGAACGTCAACGACGTTCCAATTGCGCAGAAAAAAAACCTGCCTCAACGAAAATCCAAGTCTAGTGCTCCCTAACACATATAACTCGACATTATCATAAACACATATGACTTTCAATTAATGAATTTTAATTAACAAGCTCTTTCGCACTTCCATTCTCAGGCCGAGGACTAGATCGATAATAGACCCGACAAAAAACGTCCGGGTATTCGACATCCCCTCCAAAATTCATTAATGCTTAAAAAGGTTCTATTTTTCACTTCAGCGGGTGTAGGCCTATTGAAACCGGGCGACAATTAATTGCGGTAACACAGAACATTTAATCAAATCCGATTCAAATTAATAGTGAACTACTAAAATATCCACAATAATGGTGAAGCAAGTGGAAGAGATTTTCGTAGATCCGGATTAATACCTACCGACAAAAAAGGTACAGCGCAACACCTCGATGCCCATTTACAAGCACGAGCAATTGATTATCAGTAATTCAACTAAACTAACCAAAACTAACCAAATGCGATAATGGTACTTTTATAATTTAGTGTAACTGACGAGAACATGCCTGTTGCATTTTGATAATAATGCGTAACAAATAATTTTTGTAAATCTTGTACCAAACCTAAACAAAACTAAGAAACTTATGCACCATATAAAGTTAGTATCAGTAATATTCGTTGATTTCCGGATTGCACTAATATTGATTAGATATCCGTAGTCAGAAATATTTATTTGTAGTAGTGACTAGATTACAGTCTGCTGTAATAACTTCAGTAAAATAAGAAGACATGATTGTATGGCAGGGACCATAAATAAAGCTACTGAGGTTGCATAGTGTGGCGGTTTTTGTAGAACGTTTGAGAACATGTTTTTGTACAAAAAAAACCTTACAATAATGTTCAGTTTAAATGAAAAAAAAAACAATAAAATTAACAATTACCAACCAAGAACATGATTTTTCAAAGGATAGGTTTATAGAAATTAATTAAAAGTTAACTAAGATAGAACAATTATACAACTTTATATTTTCCTCATTTCCCTTTTAATGTAATCTACAATACTAAGGAGGTCATTTAAATGTCGTTGCATAATGAAAATAACCATTTTTTTTAAAACGGACGTTATTGAAAGTAAACAACTTACCTGATACTCATAAGAAGGCTTCAAATAATACAGCGCCATTTCTTGGTGAAATACGGGACAAGCCGATCCCGATAGTGGCGGAACAATCCAAACCCAATCAGCCGGGCATCCGTTTCGCAACCTAGTTTCATTTTCCATGTGCTTGATGAACGATTCTGAAGCCGTGTGATGATCTACGATGGTAACTCCCTTCTCCTGGAAGCTATGCAGGACAGCAACGTTGCATTCTACTAGAGCTTTGTCCTTCCAAAGAGTTACCGGAGTTCTCGTATCTAATCCCATATTCAGAGCCACAGTCTGCATAACAACATAACAAGATAATATTAAATAAAATTAAAAAATATTTACACATGGGGTTCCTACTTACCTCAAGCATATTTAATCTATGAACATCGCATAAATTCCTGCATCCGATTTCGGTACTCATGTACCACCCATTGAAGGGTGCGGCAGTGAACTGTAGTCCACCACAGTCGAACATCATATTGGCCACAGCAGGCAAAGTGTACCATTTTAATCCAAGGTCTGCAAACCATTCGTATCTGCAGAAGAATAATGAATATGTATGAATAGATGTAGATTGCATTAAATCGACGGCAATTAAAGGGACACCAGTCAAAAAGAAAAACAAATTCTCGTTTTGTAAAAGTTTGTGTAAAGAATTCACTAATACTAAATTGACCTTGCCGATTTTTCTTCATGACAGTACATGTACCTACAAAATTATTTGTGTTTCGACATTAAGGATCATGGTACAACAAATTATACAGCTGCACACTCGACGTAACATTCGAACTATATTCCTAACTCTGCTTTTTGGAGATTAATGTTTCATAATACAGGTAGAGAGGTTCTGGGTGTAATAAGATGATCACACTCTCCATTCTGCTTATCAGAAAAAATCTCAGACATAATTGAACATAAAAGTGAGCATAGACCGGTCAGAAAGAATGCGAGGTTCTGAATATCGCAAATTATTCATTATAGCCTATTGCAGTAAAACAATGTGAAACTAAAATGGCAAAACAAAAATTGTGAAAGCTATTTGCAGATTTTCAAGACGATCGCCAGCTAGTGTAACCCTTATCTTATGTTCTTTTTGCAATTTTCCTATCATTTACTATAAAATGTACTCAAATGAAAGGCCAATGAAAATGGTATTAAAAAATCATATTCCTAGCATTAAATATGGAAAACAGGAAATTTTAAAATCATAAAATTTTAAAAGAACGCTATTTAACCCTATTTGAATCTTCGATAATAAAATTATCCTCTCTCTCCTCTCTCTTCTCTCTCTCTCCTCTCTCTCCTCTCTCTCCTCTCTCTCTCCTCTCTCTCCTCTCTCTCCTCTCTCTCCACTCTCTCCTCTCTCTCCACTCTCTCCTCTCTCTCCACTCTCTCCACTCTCTCCTCTCTCTCCACTCTCTCCTCTCTCTCCCCTCTCTCCGCTCTCTCCACTCTCTCCTCTCTCTCCACTCTCTCCTCTCTCTCCACTCTCTCCTCTCTCTCCACTCTCTCCACTCTCTCCTCTCTCTCCACTCTCTCCTCTCTCTCCACTCTCTCCTCTCTCTCCACTCTCTCCTCTCTCTCCACTCTCTCCTCTCTCTCCACTCTCTCCTCTCTCTCTCTCTCTTTCTCTCTCTCGGTGTGAAAAGGATAACACTAGTTGCTTCTCCAATTCTTTAATTCCTCACAATTGTGGAGTATTAAAAATTCTAATTAACTAGTTAACTAAATCTTTCCTTTTATTCCTTGATTTTAAGTATCTGATGTAGAAATATGAAATTACCAATAATTTTATGACAATGACTCACACTAACTTAAATCGTAATTTCTAAAAGTGAAAATAACGCATGGATCACCATGGTCACGAATGCACTCGATGCATTTGTTTTGACGGCTACATGGAAACGCGGCATAAGTCGTTTATAGTGTATTACGCAACAAGTGCGGTAAATGGCATTTGACTCACGAATTTATTTGATACGAGCAGAGCTAGTGGTTAATAAACGAGTGACTTAAAAAATTTACATTTTCTGCGACCGTTAGCTTCTGGGTACATTTTCACAAAACAACACGAATCATTCACTGACATGACCGTCAGAATTGACAAACGTCAAAATGCAAAGCGTGGGAAATATCTCCGAAAACATCCGATTGCTCCGAAACCTGTGCGGTAAAATCCGGGAAATATCCGAGGTGACTCGGATCCGTGTGGAACGAAACTGACGTGGTAAAGTGACGTTTCCCGCTCGCTAAATCGGTGTATGTGTGTGAAAAAATTTTAATCCACTCTTATTAACACGTGTACGCTGATGAGACAAAACTTATGCAACGAGTAGTACCACAATTTGCGTAGAAATTTTGATTTTTATGATTTAGTTGCGCCTCTTAGGGTTGAAGCGCAGGGAATAAAAATATTTGCGACAATTTTCCATCAGAATTTTAGACATAACTTTTTTCCTCAAGCTGCAGGTCTGGCAATTCTTAAAGGGGCGAACACCCTTAGTGCAACATTTATTGCCCTTGGATTTTACTTACGTCGGATGACTAAGGGGCACTTCCAAAATATACTCTTTGGGAATATCGAAGTAGTCGGGATCGTGACCGTTAGCGGATAAAACCAGAGGCAAAATGTCCCATCTTGTGCCTTTGCTTTTCCAACCAAGTTTTTGGCAAAGTTCGGTAAACTCGGCGTTCAACGGGTCGCCAATAACCGATCCGTCCGGCTGCCTGTATCCGGCATAACTCACCAACTGTGGATTCCAGACGCGGAAGTCGTGTTTTCCATCTGTGCGTTGCGGAAATATTGTTATGGCAGACCTGAAACATTTGCATTTAATTGGCGTTACGCGTTAAAGATCCCGCTGAATATGTATTTGCAAATTTACATTTGATCCGCTATAAAGACGCCCGTTAAGAATTTGACACCATTCAAAATGAGTAAAAACGCCTTCACTCGTAAATATAATGAATGGACAATGGAAGAACAGATGTATCTTAACTTCATATTAACATGTCTTGTTGATATAGAGAATGGTAAAATTTTTTGGAAAACATCTCATCTTTATATTATCTATAAAAAGGTTCTAATTTTAGTCATTTTCACATCGAGCATATTTTTGGGACCCTCTGTATTAATTTAGATCAACATTTTTTCAGGTGAATATTTTCTGGAGGTAGTTTAGTCAATGCTGTATAAAACTATGGAGTCTCTTAAGCTTTCACGGACTGTGGCCACGCTACTACGAGCCCTACTAGTAAGAAATCATTTTTTAAATTTTAAGCAATTTAAAGAATAATCAATTTAATTTTGGATTTTTTTCTTCTCACCTCCCTGTTGTAATTTTTTTAATTATTACTAGGGACTTTTATTTTGGGCAGATATATGATGCAATTTGTGTGCTGCCATTAAACCAATAAACCAGTATTATTATTATTATTATTATTATTATTATTATTATTATTATTATTATTATTATTAGATGCACCATTCTTGATTAAAGTAATAAATCAAAGGCATTTACTACCAATAAAATTCATAGAATGAAATAACTTTAGCAAATTTTGACTTTAGAATTAGCATGAACAATCCCCGTAATTCCTGAATGAGAAAATTTTTGGAAAACAAAATGAGATCCTTACAATAACAGAAAATTGGGTTTTAAAATTGGTTTTGGTTATAGTATGAAGGTTTTCGTTCCCCTAGACATGATTATTATGAAAATTTTGAAAGGCAATATTAAAAAAAATATGTTACTTGAGATTATAATTTTAACTGACAGAAGTTAAAACGATATAGAAATTTTATAGGATAGAATGCCTGTACTTCTACAACTTGATACATATACAACAAAAGGTACATCAGAACCCATCAAACAACTTTATAAGAAATTTTTGAAGAACTGTATGTAATGTAGCAATATTATTTTAATACAGTTATTCAGAAGAGCTGGAAGGAAGACCTTTTGCATACTGCAAAAAGATAATGACCTGTAAAAATATATGGGCAAATTCGCCGTTAGAAAATCTACCTATACCCAATGATAATATCAAATCTTAATCGAATTTTATTGCAGAATGAGTTCCGACACAAAATTACAAGCAAATTTTTGTTAACTAAAAGAGAGGCATCTTCTTCTATTAATGAATATGTTCCACTATACCATATCATTAGTACTATCTCTGGAAATGTTCGTTTATACCAATAGAAAGAAAAATGAATACGGCTCTGAATGTATAAATCATAAAATTCAAACTTTCAAATTCGATTCAGCTTTGAAACGCTAATATTACTACCGCCTCCTGTTCTTTTTGGTGGGAACATATGTACAACCTCTAAGTAGCGTCACCTATCTATTGTTATGCGAAACAATAGAATTTAGTCCTATTATTCATGCCGAAAAACCATGGATTTTAATACTGTCGATGTCAAACACAACTTGAGGAATAATAAGGTAACTTTTTGACTAAACAAGTCTTAACGTTGTATGGAGATTTCCACAAGAAGTCGCGGAAGTATTTAATTTACAACTTTCGAAGACGAACTGAAAAACTGAGAAATGTCAAAAATATTTAAAAGCGCAACTTTATTAATTTTTTATTTTCGATTTCTGGCCCCTCCGTATGCCCCTGCGAAGGGAATAATTAATCGACTTGTTTCGCTAGCAAAATTTATACGTTATACGCAACGCAAGGTCTTGGGGTATGAAATTTCCAATGCGATAAGAGGAGAAGGTAACAGGATAGGCAAAAGCTTGGGTATAAATAAGAGAGAAACAAATTGTCTCCCTTATGTCACCCTATTTTATTGTCATATGACATTGCAGAAAAATCCAAAATTGACTAGTGACCAATTCACAAGATGTTGAAATCTTCTGTAACCTTTCTTGATATTTAATTTTCCTCCATATTGGTCTCCTTTATTTCTACCGCGTTGGATTGTAAAAATGTTGTCTCAAAATAAAGCAAATTTGGTTTGTTTTTTGACCTTTTATATTTAAGTGCTAATGGTAATTCCAAAAGAGAGTTATTAATTGCTAGTTCATGCTGGCAAATAAAGATTACACTGTGTTGACTCACATCGGTCTCCTAGAATGGCAGTAAAATTCTTTTGCTTATATCATTACCAAAGTTAAAGTTAAAGTTTGAAATTAGGTCATAGAGTCATAGCATGGATTGCCAACTTTCTTTCTGCTGAGCTGAGCTCAGTGTCCCAGTGTGGACAAAGCGCTATCTGATGGGTGTTCCTCAGGGCAGTATTCTTGAACCTTTGCTTTTTGTGGTCTTCATTCTTAATATAGCTAATTTTCCATGTACCATCGATTGTCCGTGTATTTACCGATGACTGTATTATTTACAGGACTATAACTGTGAGGGGGGCAGTTTAATTTTGCAGAAAAACTTAAAGGCCATTGAGAACTGGAATTCAAGGGAAATAAAAGTCAATTAATAGTTTTTGCCAAACGGGAAGCCAAATTTGATTAGTAAATCAATGATAATCCTCTAAATATCACTAATACTGCCAAATATGTAATAGTTTATTTAACAACAGTCATATCTTGGAAGGTATCACATTATAGTATATTATGCAACAAGTGCGGTAAACGGCATTTGACTCACGAGTTTATAAACGAGTTTTAATAAGCAAGTCACTTAAATAGTTTATCGAACCACACTATTCTTTTTCTACGAAAGTTAGTTTTTGGGTACATTTTCGCAAAACAACACGAATAGGGTCACTCACATGGCCGTCAGAATTGACAAATGTAACAATTCAGGGCGTGGGAAATACCTCCGAAAACATCCGATTGCCCCCAAACCCGTGCGGTAAAACCCCGGAAATGTCCGAAGTGGCTCATCGGTTGTAAATGAAATTAAAGTGGTAAAGTGCCGCTTCCCGCAAGTTAGATCGGTAGGTAATTAGGCATTTTACAGACGGGAGAAGAAAAATAAACTTTTAGCTCAGTCCTACCAAATTCTTATTTTAATAACGGAAAATTTAAAGTGCGCTGGACAATGAGCTTGACTGAAGATTTATCTAGCCTTAGTTAGGTCTCTGCTGAAACATTGATGCTCTGTTTGGCATCCCCTCCATAACTAACGAAATAGAAATAGTGCAACATAAAGCGGGGGGAGGGGAGTGAATTTCTCTTAACTTTGAAGCGATTTACAGATTAGGGTGCATTTCATAGGGTGTTTTTTGTTAAAGTCGATATGCACAAAATTCTGAGTCGAGTTCAACCTTTTTCACTCTAATTTTTGTTCTCCTGTCATTCTTTTTTTTTAATGCAGGCACAGCACTTTCGTTAAAATAGAGGTTTCTAGTAGAGCGATGTGTCTCACCAAATTGAAATGAACTTGTAATTAATAACCCCCCTTTTGTATTACTGTAGCAGGTGTTTCGGATTAAATGAATCAAAGTCGGATTATCGGTAGATCTCAACAAAATTTGTGTTTGCTATACAGGATGGACCAAATTCGTACAGGTGATAAGATATCGTTCTTTATGATTAACAATTCCATATAAGCATATTTCCTAAATTATTTCGTTCTCGGCTCAAAATATTTTTTGGAATTGGCACTTATAATAGGTATCCATCAGTGTTGCAAAAAAACCTAGGCAACTGGTTGCTCAAGAAATAAAAAATATTTTAGGAACTCCATTGAAATTATAGTAAACCTGATTTGTCTGTTTTGTACTTTTTTTTTTCTAGAAAATTCAATAATTTATCCACTTGTAATGAATTAATATAACGCACTAAAATAGAAAAAAACTAATTTTATGAAAAAAACTTCAACGAATCCATCTAATCTAATAATATATATCCAATAATATCTATTGGCGTGGAACTTTTTTAGCAAAAACGTATTTTTTAATGTGAACTTAGAGAAATATATAGAAATAATAGAACAGTCAGATTGGAAACAAGCAACCAAGATACCACCGTTTATTAAAGCAACTGTTGTTTATTTGTTGAGATCTGTCGATAGCTCGATGTTGACAATCGTTGAAACACTCTGTATGTTCAATGCAGACAAGGGAAATCTGAAGTTTCAAAATGTTCTCAGAACAGTATACTCCATTTTGATTATTATACTAAATATTTCCCTAAATGAAATTAACGATATTGAACGTTTCCGCGTTTCATGTTTCGAAACCGGCAATGTATTTTTCAACGACAAATTTTACTTGCTCCAGCGCAGGATGTAATGTTTATCCGCTGACAAGAAGACAAGACTGACAGCTAATCTTTCTCCTTGATGTATACTCGGGGTTTCTTGTTTCCAACTTTGTTCAAAGTTGCCGCAAAATTCTGAATTATTTTCCTCATGAAAGTAATAATTATCTATTACGATATGTCGGGTAGAAATTCCCATTAAATGTTGCGATTCGCGGTTGTTTAAATGCATATAGGTTGCAAGAGAAAACAGTTCCCCTCAAATGAGACATAAATTAGCAAAAAAATGTCAAATATTTCAACAATTGTTAAAGTTTTCACAAAAACGGGCAAAATTAACAGTTCTTTCTTCTATAACTATTGGTTGGTTTCGTTGGAAAATTGGTTTTCAATAACTTCGAACTTAAACTTTACTGCTTAATTTAAATGAGGCAATCCTGTGGGTTAGCATTTGCTAATAATTAAATAAAATCTGTGACAAATTGATAATATGTAAAAACAGTAGTTAGTAACTAGGTAACTATATAACCATTTATTATAATTAAATCGAATTTAATCTGTAAAATGGGAAGAAACTATTAAAAAAGACTTGAAGCTTATAGTACATTATATTATATCTACAATTTTGCTTGTCAAGGAGCTATGTATTGAATTTTTAATATTAGCAAATTGTTATTAATAATAAAATTAACCACTTGTAGCAATTGGATTGTAGCAGAAATGTCAGAAAACTTCAATAAGAAAATTTTTTGAGAACGAAAAGATATATATTTTTCAAATTCTTAAAATTTCATTTATTTCACAAATTTGCTGCAGAAGAAAAATTAAATGAAACCAATGTATCACGCAATAAATTAATAGAGAGAAAAATACTTCAAAAAATTTCTCATTTTCCTTTGCAACCATTTTACAGAAGCCTGGATTGGACGGATTAAAATTAACTCTTAATAACTAATCCCAATATTTATCTTCATAATAAATTTCACGATAAGTTTCAGTCTTTTTTCTGGTACTCCGCCAACTCAAATTTATTAAGAAAATTAATTCGCCAGTGTAAAGCTAATTAGTACACATTAGCGTTAAACAGGGTTAAAGTTTCACTTAAACCTTTCATAAAGATTTCTATGAGATAAATGCCGGGAAATAAATGACAATTTGGAATATTTAGTAGTTCGTCAAGGATTAGAATTATTAGAAAGAAGGAATGGTGAAATTGATATTTTTGATGTTGCATTTATGTTAAGACATTTATAACAAAAATTAAATTAAAAATTAAGCAATCAGGTATATAAAATTCAATTAACAACTTCCTGCTGTGAATTCAGTAGTTCGCAGACGAATTATTAGTAGACGTATGTTATGAGGACGGTTTTTGCATTGTATTGTAATAATATACCTACAGTGAACGGCTGACACGTGGATCAAAATCATTAGCATGGGTAGAAAATTTTTTTTTTGAAAATTATTTTCAGGCGTGATTCATGTAGCATACCCAATATATATCTCTTAATTTTTTGGAGCAAAATCATAAAAAACAGAAATTTAATTTTGGTATGAGTAAAGTTATTAAATTGTCTCAATTACATTTCTGTCAGAAAAGGAAGTGAACATGGCGCACCTAAATTAAACCCAAACAATTAGAATTTTCATTTTTATTGTATATGGAGACAAGACGGGTACCCAAGAAGAAGTTTGTAATTTGTTTAACGCAAAATATACACACATTAAAAGATCCACAGTGAGTAAAAATGACAGCAAAATTTATAGAAACGGGGCATGGTAAAGATCGTTCAGATCCAGGTCCACCAAACACTAATAAGAACACGAAATTAAATATTTCACTAGAAGTTGAGGATAGCTTTTATTAATAATGTTAGCCAACGAATACTTTTGCGAGTATTGAAAGAAGAAAAGTATCATCCGTACAAGATTACATTACAACAGAAGCTGAACGACGATGATGCCGACCACAGAATACAGTTTTGTAAAATTACGATGGAAATGAAAAACTTTAAACCATGTTTTGTTTAATTGGTACAGTAAATATAAAATTGTAGGTACTAGAGAACGAATAATCCTTATGGATATATAAAAATGTATTGTCAGTATACAGTAAAAATAATAGCGTCTCCAAGATTGATTCTTGAGGCACCCCTGATACCAGTTCGTCAACTTTCGACACACCAGCTGTCGTCCTAACAACTTGTCTTCTATTTTGCAAGTAGTTGCAAAAGAAGGCCAATGGACCGTCAGATAGTCCACAGTATTGCAATTTATCGCATAAAAGTGAATGATCCACACAATCAAGAGCTGGAGAAAAGTCGAGTAGAATTTGGTTGCAAGTTTGTCATCTAAACTCTGAGAAATTCGATCTGTCACATTGAACAAAACTGTTGCAGTACTGCGTCCCGGACGAAAAGCCGATTGAAAAGCAGATAGGATGTCATTTTTAACAAATTCATAGAGCTGTAAGTAGACAACCCTCTCCAGAACCATGCTCAACACTTAAGCAATTCAGGAGAACTTAGTTTAGGAATAGGACATACAACAGTTGTCTTCCAGCAGTCTGAAAAGTAACCATTCTAGAGGCATGAATTTACTATGTGGGTTATATGGTTAAGTAGTATGGGTAAACTCAGTTTTAACATTAAAAGTGAAATTTCATCAATTTGATTTAAGACTATCGATAGATGACTTTATTTCGTCAGGTGTGTGAAACTGAGGAGCGTTATGTCGCGTAGTCTGAAAGGGATTGATCGATTCGACATCTGCCTGTGTACTCGAAAAGCCGCAACAAAATGTTTATTTAGCGCATCACAATCCTGAATATGTGCAGATTTCTAAAGTTCCACAGAGTCGACGCATCCTGAGGATGAAGCTAAATTGCAAAGGCTTATAGGTATCCCAATTTGAAACTGATTTATTTAGTTTACACTTTTTAAGTGCTATGTCCCGCTCTAGAAATCTTCTCCTAAGAATATATGTAAGTCAAGGGGCATGACGCTTACTCGGTCTCACAGACCGCGCATGGGAATGGCTGTAGAATATTTTATCCTAATTCGTAGTAAGAAACTCAATTTTGCTATCAATATCATTCATATAATAGAGTTCGTCCCATTTAATTTTGTTCATATCATAGAAGAAAGCTGGGTTGTCAACATTCAGCAGTCAAACATTCTTTGTTTTCGGCTTTTAACTGTAAGTTAGAGCTCACAAAACGCCAACATAATATTATTTATGAAAATAGGATCCGGAAGATTAGCTGTGGTTTCTTGCGGGCTCATTATTATCTGCGACATTTTATAACAGTCAAAACAACTGCTGATAGGATTTGAAGGATCCAGTAAGTTCAAATTTATGTCACCGACATTAACCGTGCAGTAAAATGTTGGTTTGATTTCAGATACTATTGTATGATACGAGTTTACGGAATCTTTTAATACTAAAATTGGTCAGAAAATTCTCTAATAAATAATTAAATATTTGATAACCTAAAAGTGAGCAGTTAAAGAACTAACATTAAAGTTAGCAATTCTGAGGTTACCACATACCGCTATAGCAATAGAAGAAAGTGAAGATTAAGAATTATTTATACTTATTTGCGAGTAGCGTAAATAAGAATTTTCTCATCCTGCACTCCACGCTGTTAGTCCATTGGCAAACCACACGTATTTGTAGCCTTTTTTCCTCAAATTCATAGCATTTTTTAACAGCTCATAAGTTTTTTTACACAACTCTGCGTTGATAAAAATTGTATGTTTTAGGTTGTTAATGCCACACGGAATTGTGTCCAAAGGACCCTTTTCTTTTCTGAGGTGCAAAAGAAGTTGATTATAGATTTTTAGATTTTCAATACCATCTTCGGTTATGCGACTATTTATTTGCTTTATTACTTTTAAGGTTTTTTCCTTAATCGTTGTGTCATCATCTTGATCGTCATATGCTCCATTTACAAGTAGCTTCTTTCCCATTTCCTCGACTGCCACATCATGTAATTTGGACTGCAGCATTTGGACATCAACCCTCAGCCTGTGATTCTCGTTTTTTACCTCGTCTATCATCTCGCCCATAACTTTATTTGCTTGTTCTTGAGACTCATACATGCAGTTGAAAAAATGTAGAGATTGCTTTATAGATAAGAATTCCTGTTTAAGACTTGTAATTGCATTATTAAGAGCAAGTGTTAATAGATGAAGTGACTGATCATTATCATCACTGACAACACTCTGCACCCTGGTATAACATGGACACAAATTTTATTTCCTTCAGCTAACGCAACTCCAATTCGCTTAATTTTGCACAAATTGAGAGATGCCATTTGCCACAAGTAGAAGTATTTTGTCAGATGTTTATAAAAATATTATGGTAAAAAATAAGCGACAGTAAGAACAAATTGCTTTTAATTTTTTAATATGTATGAAATTGTCATTACCATGGAAGATTATTTAAACTTATGTAAGTAATACAATATATGGCATATGGTAGAAATAATCAAAATAATTTTATAACTTTAATTTTTTTTTTTAATTCACCCCATATTGAAAGTGAAATTATCTGGTGACGTAAACAAAAGAAAATGTTTCAAGTGGGTGAAAATTTTCCAATTTTTAAAAATGCCTTCCTTAAAGAGTATAAACGAAAAACGAATTATACATATTTTTTTGAGTGGACCTCGATTCAAAGAAAAGGCAGTAGGTCATTGAATATTTGCTAGACTTTTACTGTAATTTATGCGATTTATAAAACTCTCTCCCAATAACACAGAAAGTTAATCAAAATAAATAAGAACTAAAAGTTCAGATTTTCATGAAATTATATATTTTGACATGAAAATTGTTTCGACAACACTGTGTCTTTATCAAATGTAATATTTACAAACTACCTGCTACTATATATACCGAAAAATGACCATAAAACCTTAATTAATTTAATTGATCATTAAGCAATACATTTGAATTTCTCATTTTGTTAATCTAAAAAAAAAATTTATAACATTTCATAAAGGCACGGTGTTGTTCATGATGATATTTTTTAACCCTCTAGCGCGCCAAACTCACCTAATGTTGCCTTTATTTGTACTGTATTTGATGTGATTACACAAGGCCTCGAACATCCCGCTGGTCGTTGTGACGTATCGACAATCGAATACCTGGAAACAAACGAAATTTATTTAATCGGGAAATGGAAATAGTTGGCTTCAGTTCATTTGCACGCCTGATTCGACCCGCTGCAAATGCTATTGTTAAGTAAAAGACGCAATAAAAATAATCCCACGAAAAAAACTTCTTATGAGAATAAAGAGAAATTGCTAGACATATTTTTTAATTTCGAGAGGGGGCTATTTGTTATAGTTTCTCGGTATAGGACATTTAAGTTTAAATAGATAAATAGCGATTTTTTTTTAAACAAAAAAGGAGCGTTTGTTGCATTTTCTCGGTTTCCTATTTTAATTTTGAAAAGTGTTTTTTTGAAACTTGATCAGTTTATTTCCTAATTATAATCAATCAATATTTCGACACTTAGCGTTAATAAATAACCCATACACATAGTGGAAATATTCTCAAATCGAGTGTATGGTAAATTTTAAACTATTAACTTTTCTGGGTCGCTCAAATAGGAAAAAAGTTTAGAATATGAATGCATAATACTCAAATACTGCTAAAATTAACGTCAGAGGTGGACTTACAATCATTTCAGCATAACATTTTTTTTTTATTTTACTATTCCCGTTCTAGCAAATTTATTTACAATTTTACGCACCAATGTTATACGAAAGTTGTAGGGTTCAATAGTTATTTCTGTCTACAGGGTATCCTAATTTTTAATTACTGCCACTGCGTTGAAGTTTTAAAGGGAAGTTAAGAAAATAAGTCATTTTTATAGTTAGTACTTAACGTTTATTGATATAATAAGCGAATGGCTTCGAGGAAACCTAATTATGCAATACAAAACACAACACAAAATCACACTGCTGCTGCATATCAAACTTGAAGTAGTTTTTAATGCATTTTTAAATCATACAGTAGAGATATTAACCCGAAATGAGTTACACTAGACGTGAAATATTAATAACCAAATTAGTTGGTTTTTTCATAAAGAATCTATGCTCTATTTAAAATGTCAAGGTAGGCAGCAATAATAGTAGCAAAGGTTCAAAATTGGTGCACTCTGTACACTCTGTAATTCGAAAGAAACTAATTCCGAGCCCTACCACGCTTTTTTTCTAATTTATTATTGGTAGCTTCGCAGCATTGTACAACATAAACTCGTAAATATTAAAGTTTTCAGTACGCTTTTGCTTTACAATGTTTGCGTATTGAAAAATTTCAACATTTCGCTTGTTTGTACTTTAGTGAAGACGACTACTGAAGTTTAAGAGATTTCACAAATTAATTTAAATTTTTTAAATATAGATTTGTTTATTAATAAAGCCTGATGGCCGATATCTTTATTCGTACATCAATGTGATTTTACTGCTTCCCTTCTGGAGTGTAGTCAGTAAAACCGTTTTCCCAAGTGGAATGTCCGTTTTAAAAATTTAATATATATGACATAATGGATGTACCATAATATGTATCCAATTATTTTTGATTTCCAGCGGGGATTATCAAATTTTATTAACAAGTTCGAAACGTGTATTGACACGCCATTGCGTGAGCTAATAAAATGCGGCTTAGAGGGAATTTGTTTTGGCACGCAATCTGGCGATCACACCAGACTCTGCAATATTTTTTCGTTATGACGTATTGTCAAAGGGTTAGTTCGAATCTGTCCACTTTGAAAAAATTTTTTATTTTGTTATTTATATGTCAACCAAATAATGATCATTGACCTAAATATGTTATATCTAGCTCTGTTTAGAAAATGCACGGTGTTCAAAGCAAAATTATAATCCCAAATGCTAACCGACAAGCAGACGAGGCTGAATGATTACAGGATAGCACATATTAAACATAAGATTACACATCGTCGGGACTACAAAAGAAATTTAAATAGATATTTCCTATGCTAATAGACAGTAATTAAAAGAATGATATAAAATTTTGCATACGTTTATTTTAAACAAACGTAGGCTTAAATTGAACCAGTCCGTATCTTCGTTGTTAAAAAAACATAGTTAATGTGCATACAAGTACATCAAAAAAGTTAGCCTAGTGCGCACTCGATAAGGACTAGCATTAAAAGGTACCTGACTTGCACAAGAAGCTGACTCAACAAGATTATTGACAAGTTTATAAAGAAAAATTAGTTCTGAGCAATTTTTGGGTGTTTCAAGCGTCCTTAATTTATAAAATTGTAGGTTTTTTTCATGAGAAAATTAGTGTGTGTCTCTATGATACCTAAAATCTAGAAAGCTTTTTTTGGACACTATCTATCCGATGGACATACTTGCGGTTCCATGCGGTGGATATTAGAATGACTGAAATTAATATTCGCATTTTTTTAACATTGATAAAATTTGCACAATGTCTACATATACTACATATATATACTCCTGCGGATTTTTGATATTTGAATCCGTTTTCAGTAAAAAACGAAAATACTGCTGAGCGGAATTGTAGCGAAAAATGGAACCCAATATTGACGCAAATTTTTATGTCAAATGAAAAATGGACACTGTTCAGAGCGTCATGCAACAAGTTCTATAAACAAATTTTTAGTGACAAGTTCTTTATACACAAGGAAAGCAAAAATAGTATATTATGCAACAAGTGTGGGAAACGGCATTTTAGTCACGCGTACATTTGGCACGAGCAGACTAAATGTTTAATAAACGAGTGACTTAAAAAGTTTTCTAAACGTGTTGCATACTATACTCCTTCTACGACCGTTATTTTTTGGGTACATTTTTGCAAAACAAGACGAATACATTCACTGACATGACCGTGAGAATTGACAAACATCAACATTCAGGTAGTACGGTAATATTTCAGAATACATCCGATTGCTCCCAAACCCGTGCGGTAATATCCCGGAAATGCCCGAAGTGGCTCGGTAGGAACCGAAACTAACGCCAGATCGGTGTATAATCTACCAACCCGTGATTAAACTATCGCAAACGCTCAAAGTCCTTAATGAGACTGAAATTGTAAAGTTACACTTTGCTCACGCCCTGACGAGCGCTTAATTGAACATGCGAACACGTTATCCTTTCAGCTTTTGTAGCCTTCTTGACATGAGATGGTAAAAACTTTTTATCAAATATTATTGTTATTATTCAACAATTGACAACAATTAACGAGTGTGATAAATGCCGTCTTAGTCACGAGATTTGTTTTTCAAGAACGGAGCGAGTGCTTAATAAAGGAGCGATTGACATTAACATTGACAGCTAACGCCAAACCTAGAATTAACAAACGTGAAAATATCATCCGTAACTGAAATCTACCAATATGTGGTCGCTTCCAAACTTGCGACTATAATACTGAAAATGCTTGAAGTGGTGATTTTTGACATTATATTTGTGAGAATAAAATGTTAAAGTATGAAACGTAGATTTGCCATTAGACCGAAATTCCGTCGAAACAATTCCAATTTATTCCAAGAGGACCTTTATGTCAACATGCTTTTACCCTAAGGTTGCGATAAATTAGTCTTTATGTTTAGGGTAACAGAAATTTACACAAGGATCGGCTTAGTGCTCTAATCTCGTGACATTTATTACCCATTTGTATTACCCCGCAAATCTTTATATCGAATTTTTTTTTCGAGACTGCACATCGAATTGTTCTGTAATTGTGATTTTCTCTCAAACTAAATTAGTGTCCGGTTTGCAAATAAGACACCAATGCACTCAGTTTGCGCAACCGTCCATTAATTCAAAATTTGCAGTAACTGAAACATGTTTTTCAATAATCTTGGCGAAAAAGAACACAACATTTAAAATTTTTCTTCAAAGTTCAAATTTATTAAAAATAACAAATGCTTTTTTTATGTAACTGGTATTTCAAGATTTTGCTTATTTAATTATTTTAGCTATCATATAATATCAAATCAAAGCGAATCCTGAAATTACAGCATATAATAAAGTTTTTCAATAAGTATTTAAAAAAATGCACATCACTGCTCCGAACATGTCAGAAGAAAATTAATTCTCAACTGATAATATTCTGACTGAAAACGTTATCACAGTTTATAAGCTGATAGATTACTACTAACCTCACTTCTTTTAATCAGGCATGGCAGAAACATTAAAATTTTAGCTAGTATTCGTGCTCATTAGAAGAAGTTATCAGAGGTTTTGTAAATTTGAGATTCAATAAATTGCGATTACTAAAGAGTGGTTATACATAACCCAATTTTTTCCCTAATTGCAAAGCAACTCTTCAACTTTGCAGAAACTTCAACAAATATTACTCAATAATTTCGAATTAGACAATTAAATATTAAATAATAATATTAGATCATTCTGTTCCAAACCATGGTAACATATATGTATAAAGATTCGAAAAAAATGGAGTTTATTAAATGTGTTGTGTCAAATGGAGTGAAACACAATAAAAATCAATTCAAACCATTTCACCACTGCTACTACATTGAGGTATATATAGATTGTTTCAGTTTTTTGTCGCTGGACTTTATATTCTATCTGAATGGTTCAGTATAATGGCACAAAATAAGGTACTTGGACTGCGAAAATTTAAATTCATTGTTAGTTTCGATATTGCTAATAGAGGCAGCCATTTCGTATTAGTATTTAAATTGGTTTAAAGCAAATCTTTATCAAAGACGTCGCAGACGTAAATTTAAAAAAGAAAGATAAAAGAAAATGATTGAATGTTTACAATTTACAGAAATAAGAGAGAGAAATATAAATTAGGATATAAAACCGTTTTTACTAATGCCACTCTCCAACAACGCTGTCTGTGTTTAAAATTATCTAAGTTTCTAAATAAGTCTTCAAAAAAACCTTAATTTACATTCAGAGAATTTTTGCAATATCCTAGGATAATATTCCGGCTGAAAATATTATCAGAGTTTATAAGCTGTTACTATAATTAACACTTAAAGTTGAGTCAATATAAAATATTCAAATAAGTCAATAAAAAATATTCACTTCTTTCGTTCAAATCTGCTAGAAATCGTGAAAGTAGCTAGTATTTGTTATCATGGGAAGAAATTGGAGTTCTTTTTTAACTTTATAATTAA